ATAATAATAACAATGTTAATAGTAACCAAAATTATAATAATAGTAATAATAACAGTAATTATGATGATAATAATAATAATAATAGTAATAACAATGATAATAATAAAAATATTAATAACAATAATAATAGTAATAATAATAATAATAATGATAACAATAAAAACAATAATGATGATGATTATAACAAGAACAACAGTAATAATGATAAACATTAATGTGAATGACTATAATATTAACATCATTAAAGGAGCCACTTATAGTGTTTGTCTTTCTAAAACAAAATACAGTTGCACATCCTCATCACCATTGTCATTACCATCACCACCACCATTATCATACATTTAACTATAGCCTTATCATCACTAACAAAGCAAATAAAACCATAACACCACAAAACACTATCTTCCCCTTTTAAAGTCACCATCACCATCATCCTTTATGATAATCACAGAACACCATACGCCATTATACAAGAAATGAAAATGAATGAATGAATGAGAATGGATACCTTCACAACACAAAAGTGATGTATTTAACCAGTCTCGATTTATATCTCCGTCAGAAATAGAATCGAAACCGGCCAAATACACCTCTCATATTGTGAAGATATTCATCCCTTCATTCATACCTTTTCTACATTTGTCAGCATGCATACGGTTCAACCATTATGCAAGATCCCTGTCAGTGCTATTACCTTCCCTCACCGCGAATCAGGAACGAGACTATTAACCCATCTACTTAATATTCACACTCTGCTGTATAAAAAAAAATATTATGTGTACAGAGAGATGGATGCACCTGCGTGATGTTCTCCCGCAGAATATTAATGATTTGGTGAAAAAAAAAATGTCTTAATATTATTAGGATATGATGTTTATTAAAATGAATCACGCGATGCCGTGAGTTTTAATATATTCATCCTAATTAATCGCATCATCTAATATGTTTTAATGTGTTTATAATAGGATATGTGTTAATTAATCACATGTGGCAATATCTTGAAATATTTGTCGTAGTGATTTCTTATAATTAATCAATATGCAATTGATGTTTCGACACTAGTTGCATTTCTTCGTATGACCTCATAATCCTGACGCTACTTTTGAGTAAACTATTAAATACGTAATTCTTGATATTAGATTCACATTATCTTTTCTTTCTCATCATCAATATCACTATGATTATTGATATCATTACCATTATTAGTATGATTATTATCATTATCATTATTAGTATGATTATTATTATTATTATTATTATTATCATCATTATTAGCATAATTATTATCATTATCATTATTAGTATGATTATTATTATTATCATTATTATTATTATTATTATCATTATCATTATGAGTATTATTATTATCATTATTTTTCAATCATTATCATTGCTATCATCATCATTATTAGTGTTGTAATTATCATTATTATCGCCATTACTATTAATATTGTTATTGCCATTGATATTATGATTATCATTATCATCATTTTGTTACCGTTGTTGCTGCTGTTATGATTATCTTTATTCATATTATTATCATTACATTGCTTTTATCATCATCATTACAGTTGTTACTATTAGTATTATCATCATTCATCTTTTTCTATTTATTTTCGTCCTTTTTCTTCTTCTACTTCTTTTTCTTATTTTCCTTTTTATACTTAGTTTTCTCCTTCTCTTTCTTCAAATTTTTCTTTTCGCTTTCTCATTCTTTTTACTTTTTCTATCCAATTCCTTCTTTTTTCCTTTTTTCCTTCTTCTTTTTGTGTACTTTCATTCCTTTTATTTTCTTCTACTTTCCTTTCCCTTCTTCTTAATTTCTCCTTCTTTTCCCCTTTTCCTTCTTCTCCTCCTCCTTTTCCTGTACCCCTTTTTCATTCTTCTTCCCCTTCTTTCTTCTCCTCCTTCTCCTTGTCCACGTTCTTCTCCTCTTGTTTCTCCTTCTTCTTCTTCGTCTTCCCATTCTCTTTCTTCTCCTCCTTCTCCTCCTTCTCCTTATTCACAATCTTCTCCTTTTTGTTTCTCCTTCTTCTTTTTCGTCTTCCCATTCTCTTTCTCCTCCTCCTTCTCCTCCTTTTCCTTGTCCACTTCCTTCTTCATCGGTTACTTCTCCTCCTCCTCCTCCTTCTTCCTGAATCTACACTGATGGACGCCACCGCTCGTTCTTAATGATTGTCTACACCAATTACCTAATTACCACTTATAATCACTCTTTCTTTATATTCGTGTTGTCTTCTTGTGTCATTTGTGTCATATCAGCAAATATTTTACTGGCAATGATGATGATTATAATAATGATAATTCGTAATCTACATTAACAGTAATTAGTAAGAACAATAAGGATTTTACCATTATTATCTCTATTACCGTCATTACTATTGTTCTTTTTTCTTATTGTTATTATCGTTATCATAATCATTATTTTTATTACTATTTCTATAACTGATATTTTTTAATCATTATCATCATTATTATCATTATTAGCAGTTTCATTATTATTATTATTATTATTATTATTATTATTATTATTATTATTATTATTATTATTATTTTGTAATCATCATCATTTTTTATATCATTATCATTATGATAATCATTTTAACAAAGATATATGATAACAATGGTAATGATAAGAATAATAATCATAACCATGACAAATAGCACTAAGAAGAAGAAGAAGAAGAAGAAGAAGAAGAAGAAGAAGAAGAAGAAGAAGAAGAAAAAGAAAAAGAAAATAAGATCTAGTAGAATTATGATAACATAAAGATAATACTGATGATAATGGTAAAAGTAATAACAATTATGATAATAATGTTAATAATAACGATAGCAATAAAAGCCATAATAGCAATAATAATAACGATGATGATGATGATAGTGATGATGATGGGGAGGAGGAGGAGGACGATGACGATGATGATAATAACAACAATAATAATAACAGAAGTGATAATAATAACAATAATGATGATGATGAAAATGAGAATGATGTTGCTGTTAATAATTATGATAAAAGCAATATTAGTAAAATAATAATAATATTAGTAATAATAATAATAGTAATAATGATGATGATAATGACAATAACAACAATTATATTTAAGAACAATTATAGCAATAACAATGATAATGATAACAGTAAATTGCCTAAGATTATCATTATCTTCATTATGGTAATGATAACAAAAGACACCAATAATTATAATACACGGATCCTTGTTTCAAAATATAAAAGCTTTTTATTTACAGAGACTTTTGGTTATTACCGAGTTTCTGTTTCATATTTTCTCAATAAAAAAAAGTGGAATTTATTTGTAGTAATTATAATAGTTTCTTTTCTGTTTCTTTGTTTAAATGTTATATATATATATATATATATATATATATATATATATATATATATATATATATATACAGATATATATATATATCCCAATATCTTAGCTATAGACATTCCATGGTAAGATATATCGCATACATTTTAGCCACTGGAGTGGCTAAATAATGAGAATAATAATAATAATAATAATAATAATAATAATAGTTGTAGTAGTAACAATAATACTAACAATAATAGTGATGATGATGATGATGATGATGATGATGAGGAGGAGGAGGAGGAGGAGGAGGAGAAGGATAATGGTAATAATAATAATGATAATAATAATAATAATAATAATAATAATAATAATAATCATAATAATCATAATAATAATAATAACAATAATAATAATAAAAACAAGAACAAGAACAAGAACAATAATAGTAGTAGTAGTAGTTATAATAATATTGATAATAATAACAAAATCAATAATAAACATTAAAACAAAAAAGAACAATAATAATAATAATTATTATTATTATAATGAAACAACGATAACAATAACTAACAATGACATTGACAATAATAATAATAATGATAATAATAATAATGATAATAATAATAATAATAATAATAATAATAATAATAATAATAATAATAACAATAATTATAATAATAATAATGATAATAATAATAATAATAATAATAATAATAATAATAATAATAATAATAATAATAATAATATTAATAATAATAATAATAATAATAATAACAATAATAATAATAATAATAATAATAATAATAATAATAACAATAATTATAATAATAATAATGATAATAATAATAATAATAATAATAATAATAATAATATAATCATCATCATAATCTTAATCACGATAATACTAATAAAAATTATGATGACAGTAATAATCATAATAATAATAACGATAATTATAATAATAATGATGATGATAATAATAATAACAATAATAATAATAATAATAATAATAATAATAATAATAATAATAATAACAATAATAATAATAATAATAATAATAATGACAGTAATAACAATAACAACAGTAAGTATAACAGCAAAGATAATAATAACAAAGACAAGAACAACAACCTGATATTTACAACGCTGCAGGAAGATGTTCTTTCCTCGGCGAAAGTTTAATCATTGCATAATTGCAGGCTTGCACTATTGCCCACGTCACGTCACGTCAGGCTCCGGTGATTTCTTAGGTAATGTAAACAGTATCAGGTCCAGAATAGCTGGTATTAGTTCCTTATCAAATAATTAAGAGAAATTTCGAAGTGGGAGCCTAATATCCGTTGAGATTTGTGAAGATGCTTAAATGGTACTCCGAAATCTATTATGCCGAGGATACTTTCTTTTGTAGAGAGAATGATATTCCGTAATCGATTATCGAAGTCACTGAGCAAGTGTCAACAATTACAAGACCAATAATAGAACACCGTAAACAAAATACCTCTCTATATAATAACACTAATACAAACAAACCATTACTTCTTAAACCCATTCACTCCTTTGAAAAAAACAGGGTTAAAACTGAACACTTCAACAGATCCACATAAAATATTAATCACTATGTTTAGTATTCTGACCGTGTTCCCTGTTCCCGCTGGACGCAACAGGTGGGAGACTTACCTGCACATCTTGATAATATCATGCATTGGGACGGTGTCAAAGGCGACGCTGAGGACTGTGAGTAACTGGGAAACGCCGTGTCCTCTTCTTTATCTTCTTTATTATTGCCTTTTCTTATTTTTTTATTTCCTTTTTTCTTTTATTCTTTTGTCTTTAGCTATCTTTCTCGTTTACTGGTCATGCGACTCCTGAGTGCATGACTGCGCTGAAGGGGATGTTCTCTTTTTTTTCCTTTGGTTTGTTTATTTGTTCTAAATGTGATATTTGAGTCTTCCGGATCCCGTTCCTTCCGCACATGCAAGAATTGTTTGAAAATCGTTAAGGACTTTCCTCCTTTTTTTAATTTGAATTTCTTGTCTTCACACTGTAGTTCAGCAAAGGTTTCCTGAACAGTTTATAGCACAGGACACCGCGCCGGGAAGGTCTCTCACACTGTTCAATTGATCAACACTGTAGCCGCACTAAAAGGACTTCCTTCGCGCACGTCTCCTCCTCCGACGCGGGCACGGCCAAGCACTCAAGGACGCGGAAGTCCTTTACCATAATGTGCTCCTGCAGGCGACGTCCGTTCGACGCGGAGATGATCCCCGAGGCGTCGACGCGATGGGAGATAGGAGGCCGAGTGGAGCCCGACGGGCGCTCGCGGGCGGCTCCGCTCGGCTGGCACCTCCGCTGGCGTCGGGCGCTCGCTCGGGGACGCCGCGAGAAGGGTCCTCCGCTCGACGGGGCTGAGGGAGGGCCACGTCGAGAGCCCAGGCAGGAGGCCCTCGGAGGGATGCTTTGTGTGAAATTGACGCCTCCAGGCACGGTCGAGCCTCGGCGCGGTGCGGGCGCGCGAACGGGAGCAAGAGAGATGGAGGTAAAAGGGAGCCAGAGAGGGAGAGAGAATAACAGTTAGTCCCGAAGGTCTCCTCAGTCGGTCACTCGGATAGCGCGAGCGAGTCCCGACTGACGCCGCTGTCGCTGTCGCCGGGGAGAGGACGCGCCGTGCCTGGCCGACCTCGACTCCTTCGACGCCGCGTGGAAGCGCACTGGAGGGCGCGGAAACAGGCGTCCGCGCAGGAACTAGCGAGAGAGAGAGGGAGAGAAAGAAGGTCCTCGCCTCGGGCTCTCCTGGGCGCTGAGGAACCGCATGTATTTCGCTGGAAACCTTTGGGCTGTTGGCTCAGTGTTTTGTTTTAGTTTTTTTTACATGGAACGCCCGGGAGGTTTTTGTTGTTGTGTTTCGAGTATTCATAGGCACTTGGCTCTTAGTGGATGGGATGTCGTGTGTTCCAAACCTGACATGGTCACTCAAATGTCCTGCTCCCCCTCCATGGGTCTGTGTGTAAAAGAGAGTTTCGTTTGGGGGGTTTTACTCAGCTGGTCCGCAACACCGCCAAACACTTGACTAACTCGACTGGGCACGTTGGCGGGTGCGGAGACGAGGCCACGCCCCCTCCTGCTAAAGAGCGCTCCCATTGGCCGAACGGGCATACCGTCCGGGTACGTGATTGGCTCGCTCGCCTCATTCGCGGGAGGATCGCTGTTATGTGTTATCGAGTGTTATCAAACGCATATAATTGACTAATCAACATTGCAATCACATCCAGCTCACTCCCCTCACCAAAAAAGCGTTTACAGCTTAACAAAAGCTCTTCAGCTGATGGACGCAGGGCTTAAACAACACTTCGCTGGAATGCCAGGCGGTCGAGAGGACTCCGCAGGCGGGAAGAAATTTCAATCGTTTTCGCCTCTTTGCTCTTCTCCTTATTCGTCTATTTTTTCATCTCCCTTTTTTTCGTAGAAGAGTCAAGGAGCACGATCCTCGCTCCTTCTCCCCCATCTTGCTAAGAAAAGTATAGATCCCAATAAGAAAGAGATAAGTTGTAATTCGAACACATGTTTTTTTTTTCCTGGGCGATGCGCATTTGTCATCCTCGATAAAGCATCGGAATCGAACTCAACCACAACATAATTGGATCGAATGGCGGAGCGATTTACAAGAGCTCGTGCTTGCGGACAGCACGCCATAGACAAGGAACCGCGTCTTGGGGGAGAATTTTTGCTTGTTTTTTTGTTAGCTTTAGGAGCTGGATATGGACTGACGGGTTATTAAAAGATAATAATAATAATGATAATGGTGGCGATGATGATAGTGATAGTAATGATATTGATGATTACGGTAATGATAATGTTCATGATAGCATTATGATAATAATAATAATATTAATAATAATAATAATGATATTGACAATAAAATTATAATGCTGTTAATAATAATGATAATGATAGTAATAACAATAGTGATAATAATAACAGCAATGATAATAATAATAATAATAATGATAGACATCATAATAATGATATTGATATCAATAATATTAACAATAATGATGATAATAAAAGCAGCTACGTAGGCAGAATGAAGAGAAGGCATGTGAAGCTGCATTGGAAAGAGTTTATTAAATGCAATAATATTGAGAATTTTAGACACGTAAAAAAAAAAAAAAAAATATAT